TGCTAACGAATGAAAAAAGTTAGGCAATCAAAAAATATTGGGAAAAACGTCAATTTAGTCCTCAAACTATTTCACTAAAGCCGATTTGGTCTCTTAACCTTTTGTCGTATGAATTAAATCCTTTTATTAAAATTCTTATATCAATTGAGGACCTATACGGTGTCACCGTCCAAAACACATGTTTCTGTACACAAACCAACGGCGACAGAGGCAGGGTCTTTTTTGAAAGTAAAAAGATACGATTTTCTACGGAAAGCCCCATGCTAAAGACCCGATACAGTATCTGTCACAGTTTCATTCCCTTCCATTCTATCTTCCTTGGTGAAATTTTGGAAATCATTTTCATTATTCCTAAAACCAGAAGAGAAAAAGGAAAATCTTTCTGTCAAAATTAAGAAAATTCAACACCAGCATGATTAGTCCTTAAGTTCACAAAACCCAGATGTTTAATTGCTACCACAATAACAAAGCAAACTTCACTGAGGCATTTCATCGAACACCTTTGCCGCATTTAATCATTACTAGCAATTTTTATCATCCGTTGCAAGTATGTCAGAATTAATTGGAATCGATTTGGACCCTGAGGACTTCGCCTCCTCACTTCCCTTAAAAAAGGTCCCATACGGCGATGTTTATGAGCCTTCCAGGGCCGGCGACGTTGATCGGTTGAAGTACTTGTTGGAGTCCTGCATCAACGTAAATGCTTGGGACCAATGGGATTCGGTGGCCCTTTACTAGCCTTGCCTTGTGGGGCATACGGATACAGCTAGGATGCTTTTGGAAAGCGTGGCCATTTGCTCCGAGCACATGTTTGATGGCGATCGCTGTCATTATGTCGCACTTAATCTTAAAGTTAGGAAGCTATTGAAAGCATTTGAAGCTCGCCCGCCTCCTTTGGGGCCTTCGCAGGCTGCAGTGAGGGAGACCTTCTGGGGTGTTCGGCTAATAAGGCTTATTTGGAGCAACTGGATGGCCAAGCTCAATTTCCAATTCCAGGTCTGATTTGAATGTTTTGTTTTTGTTCTTGCCTATTTCCAATTCCTGTTTTTGAAGATTAATCCTAATTTTGCTCACCTATTTCGCTTGCAAAGGTTTCTCCAAATTTGGATACAAAATGATTGGTGTCTTGCTTCCCATAAAAATCATATTTTTTTACTTCCAAAATAGTTCCTGTCTCGCCGTTGGTTTGTGTACAAAAACATGTGTTTTGGGGAGTGACACGGTATAGGTCCTCAATTGACACAAAAATTTTAGTTAAGGGACTTAATTCATGCGATAAAAAATTAAGGGACCAAATCGGCTTTAGTGAAATAATTTGAGGATTAAATTGGCATATTTCCCAAAAACATTTGCAATTTTTCTTGAAAAGATGATTACTTCGTACTGTATGCAAGTTGAGCAGCAGAATAGTGGAACAACCACATTCACAAACCCGTGATGCCGTGACAGAAAATGACAAATAATTTGTCGACAAAGGTCTGCAAAAGTCACATTGTTGTCCGGACGACGCACCCTACCTTGTCCACAATTCTTTAGGATTAAAATTAGGGTAAGCGCAAGTTGGATGCTCGCTCCATGCATTGTTTTGCGATCAGTCATTTTTTTTTTTAATCTTTACTCGACCTGTATATTAGCATATATCCAATAATTGAGTACTTGCTCAAAAAGGGTCGGGTAAACAGTATCCATTCTATACTCATTTATTATTTATTTTTTAAAAAATAATTTATACTAATTTAATTTTGTAAATAGTACCTTGTTTAAATATATATTCCACACCAATTAAAATTTTTCTAAAAAACATAAGATCATAACCTCTAAAAATGAATATTATAAACTAACCATAGTCTCTCATATTTATAGTACAATTTGTTTAATGAAATTGCTCAATTAGCACTAAAAATATTATTTTGTAGTATATGTATAAAAATTAAAAAAATAAATAATATATATGCGGGACAAATTGAATACCCACAAATTTTTAATCTTGTGACCCTAATTCGTCTCACATATAAGTGGATACCCTACCCTTTTTTGATCCGATTAAATACTATGGATTTTGGTACCATATTTTTCAGATCGAATCGGATTGAATATGATTGGTTTTCGAGTTAGCGGGTGTTTTTGCCCACCCCTAGTTAAATGATTAAAATACCTATTTGTGGGTAAAATACTTGGGAGTGTTATTTGAAATAATATTTATAATAATTGCTATAATAATTTTTATGATGTAATATATATGACTTGAAATTGTAATTAAAAAAGTAAAATAGTATTTGTAATGCGAATACAAATATTATGTCAAATGTTACGTATCCAAACAGACCAAAGATGATCAAATCATAATTGCATTAACAAAATCAATCAACCTAACTATAACACTTGTAATAAAAAAAATTATAACACTTCCCAATTGGAAGGAAGCATTTTTCCATTTCTAGACTTAAACCATCAAACCATTTGCTTTTCTCTGGCTAAGTAAAATACTATTGCATCAATAATTCCCCCATAACAAGAGTACCTTATTATTTGTAGCATGATGATACCATCTAGCTCGGTGAAGTTATTAAATACTTATGTAAACGAAAAAAAAATAAATTAGGTAGTAAAACCCGATGAGGGTATTCAATGCCATCCTAAATTAGTATCCCACAGACATCTTATATCTTATCCATAGAGATTACGAATTTTGGTGGCCAAAATGTGGTTTCCTACATCTATTTAGATGAGGATGGTTGAGCTACGTATGCTAGTTCGGTAGCAATTAAGGGTGCAAACGAATCGAATCTCTCGCGAGTGGCTCGATTCAAGCTCGATATTGATCGAGCTCGAGTCAAGCTCGAGCTGGTCGAATCAAAATCGAGCTCGAACTCGAGCTCAAAATATTAAACTCGTTAGCTCGCGAGTTCGAGTATATATATATATTTTTTATTTTTTTATTTTAATAGTAAAATTACATAAATATTCTTAATATTTTTATTATTTATTAAGAAAAAATATTATTTTATTTATTTTTTAAAAAATAAAATAATTATTTTTATTATTTCGAACTTGAGCTGAATCGAGTCGAGCTCGAGCTCGAGTTTCAAAATTGTCAGCTCGTCGAGCTCGAGTTCGAGTTCCAAAAAATTAAGTCAAGCTTGGCTCAATTGGGCCAAAACTCGACTCGATTCGACTCGTTTGCAACCCTAGTAGCAATAACACGCTAGTTAAAGGGCAAAAGCCAGAGGTTAATTCCTCAACAATAAATATTAATAATCTATGAACCAATGGTGCAGAGTTAAAAAAAAAAAGTTCTAATCAAACTCTACTGATAATCTCTCCACCATTAAATTAGTTCCTTGAATCCTATACTAGATTCAAGAATTTATGATATTACTTCAAAAAACACGAACTAGTGCTTGAAATCAAATAAGCATTAATAAGTTACACCTTCCCTCGATGGGAAATAACTCTACAAATTATATCAATAGAATGAAAAAAAAAAAGAAATTTCATGGGACTAATTGAACAAATTATATCAGTAGTATAGGAAAAAAAAGATTTCAAGTTTTTTGTTGATCAGACAATTAAGCATTAATAAATAGCACCATTCGTCGCATGAATGATAAGTGGACAAGTTATATCAGTAGGATAGAAAAAAAAATTTCAAGGTTTTTTTTATTGATAAGGGGATACTCGAATTTGAACTGGAGATAATGACTTAGATAAGTGCATGTAACTCACAAATGCGAACCACAAAATTTTTAATTGTTACAAAAGTTAAGTTAGAATTTTTTTTCTCTTCCTTTTTGTAGAAAACAATTAGACTCACTCTAATGTCTTTAAACATTCCAATTTCTGATAGGATAATGTAAAGAATGAAAGAAATTTGAGAAGATTTAGAAGGAATAAATTTAAAAAGGTAAAGGGATTATTAAAAAAAAATTAAAAGGGCACAAATGTAGGAAAAATTACTAAAGGGATAATTTTAGAAATCTCTCCTAAGGTTTTTGACAATTTCACTGTCTTTCCTTAAGGTTCTAAAAATATCACTGACCTTCCTTGAAACCAATTTTCTTGTAACAATTTAGCCCAATTAAAAAAAACAACAATAAAAAAATGATTTCAGGTGTGAAAAGATTTATTTATACCAAAAGTGCCTCTCAACTATTATCTTAGTTAGATTAAATATTTGATCTAACGTGTTAATTTACTTATGGGACCATTACTACACATGGTCAATAAAAAAATTTTCATCCATAATAAAAAGTAACAACTTTCAAAATTTAACAAAACAATTTTTTCCATACCTTAAGATTCTTGCTGTCATTACAATTATAAGAAAAATTCACCCAACTGAAATCTCTTTATATTTGATTTCTTTTATTTATTAAGTACATAAATTGGAAAAAGGATGCCTAGTATTGGATTCTTTTTTTAGATGCCAAATTAGATTTTCTTTATAACATTTCAAATTATGGTTAATTTAGTTTGTAAATGTCTTAATTGTTTCTTATGTCTAAATCCTTCAAATTTATCAAATGCATTACATTCAATTTCTTTTATTTGTCAAGTATATAAGAATTAAAAAAGAAACACCTAATATTGGCTTTATTTTTAGATGGCAAATTAATTAACTTTTTACAATCCAAATTATGGTTAATGTAGCTAGCAAATGTTTAACTCTTCTTCCTTCGCATGTATGTCTAATTATTCTAAATTATAAGGATAATTGAGTCCTTTAGTCATTAGTGATTGTAAGCATTGAATCCCAAATGACTGATAGGGGTGATTAGTGAAAATTTTAAAGCTTTAGAAGAGGACAGTGAAATTGTCACAAAACCTCAAGAGAGGTTTCTGAGATTATCCCTTAATAAAATTAAAAAATTGCTAACCCAATATATAATTTTTGAAGTTGATGGAGGTCAATGCCCTGCCCTGATTGACAATGGCTCCGCCCCGGACCCAGGGGCACTGACATTTTTCACGTGGAAACTTGCAATCGTGCACGACTTGACTTTTTTTTTTTTTGATCAATGAAACTGCATTCATGTCAAATCTTGAAGAGCAGCATCAGTAACAGCCTTGGGGAAGTCCACAAACCACACTCGACTTCCCTCAAGAGACAGAGACATTTTAGACACGATGTGGGCAGGAACATTGTTGGTCCTCCTCACATAATTAACCTTTACAAAATCAAAAGTAGCCAGTAGTGATCTTATTCCGTGAACTATGTTACCTATCAATGACAGATCTGGCTCATTGCTATTAATCCTCTCTACAATATTCAAAGCATCCCCTTCCAGCAAGAAATGTGTTATTCCAAAATCTCTGGCAAACTCCAAAGCACTAAGAAATGCCAAACATTCCACATGTTCTGCATTTAGAGCAGTAGTCACTCGTGTTGCCAGTATAGCCTCCACTTGGCCCAGGTGATTCCTTACCACCACTCCAACTCCAGCTGCAGCTTCAGAAAAAGCGCCATCCACATTAAGTTTCAGAAGGTGCTCCGCAGGTGCTACCCATTTGTGGTATTCTATACTCCTTCGTGTCCCCTTCGTATTGTGGATATTCCAAAACTCATGTAAGAAGGCCTTGGCAAATTCACCCACTTGTTTTGCAACTCCATCCTTATCTTCAAATATTTTTTGGTTCCGGCATCTCCAAATCATCCACATGATCACCGCAATGAGAGCTGTTGTTTTTTTGCCTCTAAGCTTCAAAAAGCAGTCAAACCAGTCCTTAAAGCTTGAGGCAACAAGCTTGCAAACTGCTTTTAGCATTCCTAATCCTAACCAAACTTGCTGAGCAACTCGCACTCAAAAAATATATGTTTATCAGACTCTTGATCACAACCACACCACCTACAACTTATTATCCCTTTCCGCAGTCTAACTGATAAATTCTGTCCAGTAGGCAGAATGCCAGAACAAGCTCTCCAAACAAAGACTTTGACTTTTGGGGGAACGCCCAAGTCCCAGATTTTATACCAGAAAGACTTCTCATTAGTATTGGATGATGCACCCTCCCCACCTTTCTTCAACCTCTGCAAGGTTCTCCGTAGATGATACGCTGACCGTACATCAAAACGGCCATCCTTATGATAAAACCACACTAGCTCATCCTTAAACCCCCATGGGGAGTGCTCTGTATTTCATGATTCAAAAATAGAGCACTTAGCAAGTCCATTCTCCAGCCGCCAGAGTGGTTGTCAAATAAGTCACAAACTCTAGCATCTGGCCACAACATTTTAGCATGTTGCGACACCCTGAAAGAGGGAGGACACGATATCCACGGATCATCCCAAACCTTGATGTCGGTGCCATTACCCACTCTCCACACAATGCCTTTGTTGAGTAAACGCCTTCCTTCTAATAAACTTCTCAATAAATAAGACGGATTGCTCCTTAATTTGGCATTAAGAAAATTTGTCCTACCAAAATATTTGGTCTTCAAAACTCTGGCTGCCAAGGATTCAGGGTCCTTAATTAGCCTCCAACCTTGTTTTGCTAATAACGCAAGGTTAAAGGCTTCCATGTCTCTGAAACCCAAACCTCCTTCTGATTTTGGCTGGCATAACTTATTCCACCTCACCCAACACATTTTCTTTTCCGTCCCTCTCTGTCCCCACCAAAAGTTTCGGATGAGAGCCTTAATGTCATCACACAGAGTTTTAGTGAGCTTGTAACAAGACATCACATATGTGGGAATAGCTTGGACCACTGCCTTGATTAATACCTCCCTTCCAGCCTGTGATAAGGCTTTTTCCTTCCACTCTTGAAGTTTCTTCCAGACTCTTTCTTTAACAAAATCAAAAATTTCGTTTTTAGACCTGCCAATCATGTATGGTAATCCCAGATAGACTCCCTTCCCATCATCTTCTTGTACTCCTAGCATTCCATGGAGTTGAGTTTGTGCTTCTTTAGGCATGTTGTTGATGCAATATAGTCGAGATTTTTGAAAGTTCACCTTTTAGCCTGAAGCTCTTCCATAAATTTGCAATACCTCCATGATAGCTCGTATACTGCTCTCATCTGCTTTAGCAAAAAACAAGCTGTCATCCGCAAACAAGAGATGAGAAATTGAAAGACCTCCCCTCCCCAGTTTGATCCTACTCCATAGACCTTGTCTTTCTATCTTTCGGATAAGGGACGAGAGTCCTTCTGCACACAGAATAAAAAGGTAAGGCGAGAGAGGATCGCCTTGACGCAATCCTCTTCTCGGCTCAAAAAACTCAGTGTTACCACCATTAATGACAATAGAGTAAGAGACTGAACGTACGCACTCCATAATTAAATTGCACCATTTTGGAGGAAAACCAATAGCATATAACATGTATTCAAGAAACTTCCATTCAACACTATCATACGCTTTGCTCATGTCAAGTTTTAAAGCCAAAAATCTCTCATGCCACTCACTTCTATGCTCCAGTCAATGAAACATCTCAATAGCTGTCATCACATTATCCGTAATCAAACACCCTTTAACAAAAGCATATTGATTAGCACTAATAATGTGTGGCATCACATTTTTCAATCGATTAGTCATGGTTTTTGTGATCAGTTTATAAGCTACATTGCACAAACTTATGGGCCGATAATCAGATATCATAGAAGGGCTTTTGACTTTGGGGATTAGCACAATATGGGTCAGATTCAATTTACCTGGGCTTACACTATCATTAAGGACTGAGAGTGCCATTTCCTTCACCTCCTTCCCAATTATCTCCTAAAATCTCTGGTAAAAACCAGCATGGAGCCCGTCAGGTCTTGGCGCTTTCCATGGATGCATTTGCCCCAAAGCATCAAAGATCTCTTGTTTCGAAAAATCCTTCATGAGCTCCGACTTCATCTGATCGTCCAATCTTTGATCAATAATATCTGCAAATAACTCCACCTCCGCCCCATCTGATGAGAAAAGTTTTTTATAAAACTCCTTAATATGTTGCTCAATTTGGCCATCTGTGTTGATCCATTCTCCATTTTCCAGTTGAAGGCTCTTTATAGCATTCCTCCGTCTTCGCTGACTAGCTTTGTGATGGAAATAAGAAGTATTTCGGTCTTCTTCTTTTAGCCAAGAAACTCTTGACCGTTGCTTCCAATAAATTTCTTCCTGCTCCAAAGTGAGTCGAGTTCCTTCTGATATGGATCTCATCTGCTATCCGATAAGAGGAGTTAAATTGAATAGCTTGAAGCTTGTTCGAAAGCTTTTTAATTTTTGCCTTCAAATTTCTAAACTTCCTACTTTCCCACGACTTTAAAGCTTGTAAGGCCTTCTGTGTACATAAAGCCAATGAAGCAACTGGGTCTCCTGCACCAACCTCATGCCAATTTTCAGATAATATTTTTTCACATTCCTCATCACCTATCCATATCTGCTCAAACTTGTAGGACGTTCTCCTTCGCCTCTTATTATTGAAAGGTCTTAAACTATAGTTAATGGCTATGCGAAGTGGAACATGGTCCGACCAAGAAGATGAGAGATGGCTGACAGTGGCCGCTGGAAAGAGAGTTCACCACTCAGGTGAAGCCACAGCCCTATCCAACCTTTCACAAATACGATGACTAGGATCCCTGCCTCGTGCCCATGTGTATCTGGAACCTTTGAAACCCAAATCATACAAGTTTGCCTCGCTAAGTGCATCCCGAAAAGCTGCCATCTGGGATTGGCTTCTATCCCGACCCCCACATTTTTCTCCAGAAGACAGGATTTCATTGAAATTGCATGCACATAACCACAACATTGAGTACTAACGAGCTAATCGTTTCAATAGCTGCCATGAGTGCTTCCTTTGGCTTAGTTTTGGATGTTCATAAAAATCAGTAAATCTCCATTGCTGCCCCATTCTACTATCTTGAATCACAGCATCAATATGACCGCTGGAGTCTCATGATTGAAAGCTGGACGTCATCTCTCCATAATAATGCTAGACCCCCACCTCTGTTCTGGCAGTCTACATAAAAGCCGTTCACAAAGCCAAGCCGTCTCTTAAGTGCCTCCATTTCCCCTCTTAAGAGTTTCGTTTCCGAAAGAAAAACAAAATCGAGAACTTGTTCCCTCAATATGTTATTGAGGGCTCGAATTGCATGGGGGTTCCCAAGCCCCCGGCAATTCCAGACCAAAGCGATCATTGGCTTCGGCGGTGCTGCAGTGCAGACACCGCCGTTTGACCTGTGTTGAAGTCAGAACCATCCTGCAGCCTTGCTCTCTTTCCTTCCCCAACCTCTTGCAAAGTATCACACTCCTCATGTAGGTGCCGCTTTTCCCACCTTCGTACTTCATCAATAGCTGTTAGGACCAAATCAGGAGTTTCTGTTGTTAGGTCACCCTCATGTCCGTCCCGCGTAGCCAACTCGTTACATGTAATGGGTGGAAGGGTAGCCCTACACACCTCTCCCATGTTGGCTCTCGTTGGGCCTTTAATAGTGAGGTCTAGACCCACTTCTGAAGGTCCACTAGTTTGGGCCCCTCCTGCTTCACCAAGTTGGTCCACTTGGTTAATATATTTGGTATAAGCTTGGAGCTGCTTCCTAGCTGGAGTCCATCTTTGTGTCTCCGTACTCAAGACCCCGTCCCTCATGCTTCGAAAACTGCGGGGAAAATGATTACCATCCGTCTCATGACAGTCTCAAGCCCTACACTGCGTTTGTGATGGTGAAGCACGATGATGACCTCTTCCATCTTCTTCTAGAGCCATGGGTCCCGAGGGGTTTTCCGGCATCCCTTCCGCGGACAGTATCTGTTGCCAGATCTGCCTAGCTATGATAGTATCCGTTATCAACCAAAAGCCATATTGAGAGTCTTGACTGGAATTGGCTTCTGCAACCATTGCTTTGGCACAGACCTTTGCTGTATGCCCCATGACTCCACATTGATAGCAGAACGACGATAAGCGTTCATAACGTAATATCCCTCTGGCTTCACTGTTGTCACCCCATTTCAACCTAACCACCCTCCGCAACGGGGTTTTCGTGTTCACCAAAATTCTGAGTCTGAAGAACCGTTCGTCACTATCAGATTTCTCCTTTAACTGGACACAAGAACAGTCCCTAAAGCTGGAGGCCACTTTCATAGCAACCTCTTGAGTATAAAACTCCCAGGGCAGACCACAAATATTGACCCCAAAAAACACATTTTCAAAATCAAGTTCATTCACCCTTACTCCCGAAAACCAACTTTTGACTACTAGTAGGTTGTTGTCGATGTTCCATGGACCTTTACTCAGGACAAACTGCAGGTCTTTCTTGGATGCAAAGAAAAGTTGACAAACATCTGGTTGGACTCGGAAGATTCTGAAACCTTGTCGCTTCCATGCTCGCTCCAGTGCCCCTTTTAACCCCTTCAGATTCATTTCCTTACGTGCTACGAACTTCTCTAAACAGCTATTTGAGCAATCTTCTATTCCCTGCTTGATTTCTTCCTCTGTCACTTCAATGACTGTACACTCTTCTTCATCAAGTTGGACAGATGATAACTGTTGGAGTATATCTTGCATCGAACTCATGATAAGCTTCTTGACAGGAAATGTTGCGTGGAAGAATGTAAAACACTAGTGGAAACCAGGACTGAAAATAAAGTAATTTAGAACCCTACAGCCGGAGGAGATGAGACTCTCAAAGAGAGAGAGAAGTTAATTTAATATCATGTTACTCAAACTCAACTTTTATCTTCCCTTGCACACAAGAAATGATATGACCCTGGTAATTCTTCTTGATAGTTCAATATATTAGACGTTACATTCTCAGATTGAAGGTCTTACCTTTCAATTTGATTGGCCCAAACTGTGCACGACTTGACTTTGTACCCCCTTTCCTAAAGGTCGGGTGAAAAATGGTAAAAGATGTGGAAATGATCTTTTGCAATAATTGAGCGGGAATCACGACAACTTGTGTAGCCAAAGTTTAGCAGGTGCGTATTTACCAGTGATTAGGTAAGAGCTATGGCTTTAAATCGTGATTAAAATTGAAGACGACATAGGAATTAGCCAATTAGGATTTCTTGTGCCCTTTTTGCTGGTAGGTAGAACCCACGGCCTTGCACCTCTCACATGCATGCCATTCATCTCGGTCTAGTAATGTTTGACGTCTTCTAGTTAATTAATGAAAAATGTCATATAAGAGTGATTTTTAAGGACTTTTCTAGCCGGCACTTAAATCTTACATAACATATCATATGCATGCATGCAGAAATAAAATAATTACCTTATATTGCATTTATAAATTTGTCTTATTTAATTTTATATTTTAAAATATTAACACTTGAATTACATTTTAACGAAGATAGTTATGGCAGCTGATGGTCCTATTGTAGTAATTTGATTGCCACACCACATTTTCAAATGAAATTTCGAATTTATGCTTTATAATCAATAAGAGTTGCATGTGTGGCAAAATTCAAAAGTTTAGTGGGATTGGATTGTGACCTGTGAGTCGCGACAATCAAATTACTATTGTGGTAGACCTTAAACCCAGGATAAATACCCCACAATCTTCCGATGTGGGATGGTGACTCAACCCCCCCCCCCCCCCGAGCACACCCTCACCAACTAATTGGTATTTTTTGTCAAAGATAGGCAATTAATTAGATTTGAAACACTTGGAGAGTTAACGGAAATAATGGCCTAAGCAATCTAAGAGGGACCCACCAAACTTCCACGTTCAGCCAATTGGTGACAGAACGAGGAGCTTGGGGACCTTAAACCTAGGATAAATACCCCACAATCTTCCGATGTGGGATGGATGAGTAGATAGTCGTAGTTTTCTGAAAAATGAAAAAAAGGAAAAGTAGGAGCTAGTTGTTCTGCACAAGTATTCTAATAATCCAATTGTGTCTTATTGCAGAAGAGCACTAGTACGAAGTATCACATGGCATGGTTCCAAACTTTCACTAGGTAATTATACCATCGTACGAAGAATTTGCCAGGATTAATTTTTTTGCCTCCTAGAGATTAAGCTCTATTTGCTTGCCACCCGGCTGCACGGATAAAAAGAGAGAAACTGAAAGAAATAACTTGTATTGTATGCATTGAACATCTTACTGTCATAGATGATGAATAAATAGGAGTTAATATCATTCTGATTGTCATTACAAAGCAATTAATATTTTTGGCTAATAATTAACTCAGTGAGTGTGTTTGGATTGTAAATTATTTGAGATAATTTTGTGAAAAAAGTATTGTAACACTTTTTTGATATAACATATGAGAGATAAAAAGTGATTGAAAAATGTGTTGATGATCCAAGTAAGTCAATGTGTGTAAATAAAGTGTAATAATTTACAATCCAAACACATTGAACTATTAATTTGCCCAAGAGGTCACTCGTACCTGGTAATACAAAAGATGCCATGGAAAATACCTAGTAATGCAAAGGACGCCATGGAAAAGGTACTAAATATCGTGAATATATCTAGCACTAGAATAGCTATCCCACCCATTTTGTTAAGATAAACAAGACGTATATCATCAAAAATAAAAAGGAGTGTGTTTGAGAGGGGTGTTTTTTAGGAAGTTTTTAATATGCAAGTTTTTTTTTATGATTTTGTCTATATGAACCTTGTAAAAATATTCTAAAATTTTAAAATACACACCCTAAAATAAATATGGATGGGGGTAGGATGAAGGGAGAGAGGAAGAAGGAGAAAGAAGGGAGAGAGGAGGATGGGAGAGAGAGAGAGAGAGCGAGATGGTGACTACCGGTAGCGATAGTGGATAGGGAGGAGGAAAATCAAAATAGGAGTGGAGAGAAAGAAGAAAGAGGAAAGAAAGAGAAAGAAAATGAAGAAGAAAAGGAAAAAAAAGAAGAGAAATTTTTCAGTTTTCTCAAATCTTATATATACAAAAAATTTTCTACAATTTTTACATTAAATTACAATAAAAATTTTTACAAATACCAAAAAACACGCCTTATAAATAGACCCCTTGATCAAGGTAGGGACTAGAAATCCATCAACTAGGCTTGAATTGTGGTACTAATGGACAAGAAGAAATTGTTGTACCCATATTTGGTCGGAAATATCCTAAGTTCACCTCGTTTGTTCCAATTATTGAACAAGTTTTTGGCCTATCAAATATATTTTTCTTATAAACTGAAATCTTCATTTCCAATGGTATGTGTTCAGGGTTTGGACTGGAATATGTAGCTTTGCATTCATATTCGAGTTGCAAAAGTGGAACTCAAAACTGAGGAATTAATGTTGCCTTTTGCATTCACATCGTATGATATCATACTCTTGCTTATTGAGTTCAATTGTTTTCTTATTGTTAGATTCATGAGTAAAGAATTATATCACACATTGGTTCGAGAGATAAATAAAGAGTGGTTAATATGTAGGTAAGAGTTCAAAACCTAATAACTTAAGTTTTTGGATCAAAGTTGGGTCCTGCCTTACATATTCGGCTCTTTCATGGACTCTCTTAAGATGTTTCTCCCTAACAAGTGGTATCAGACCATTTAGTTGCGAGACTGGGTTACTCATGAGCAAGTGGATTCTTCTCATAGTTGGACCAGTGAAAATTCTCTTCTTGATGGTGGACCGAAGTGCTAAAGTGTTAAAAAATTTGGCTAGTGTTGAACCAGATGCGCCATTGATTTGGCAAGGGGTCTGGTTGGTATTAGACCAAGGAGTCAAGGGTTAGCAGGAGTCCATAATGTAATTTGGATCTTGAAGAAAAGTGGGCCCATGATTGAAAGAAAAAAGTGACCTTAGGTGTTAAGATGGGTTTGCATTGAATATTAAAATAGGTTCGAAGAAGAGCCATTAATTTGGATTTAATGTGAGGAGTTACTCATGAAGGGGGAAATTTGTTAACCTCATGAATAAAAAATTATATAAAATATATTTTGATAATTGATAAATTATAAATTCAAATGCTTCTTAAATAATTTAAACAACCACAGTGACTTGAATGGATTTCAAATCTTTCATCAAATTTATCAATCCAAACTAAATAATACATTTGTACGCATAGGGTGTGGGTTAGCAAATTTTCCAAAGCTAAATCTTCGGTTGCTATTCTCTTATCAATAAAATATGCATTTACAAACAAAAAGGGAACAAAATTGCACTTCAGAAGAATTCTAGAAAAGACTCTCCCATTGTTTGTACTTCGTACAGCCTAATAATATTTGAAAACTGTCCTCGAGATGTCCTAGACTTTTAATATCTAAACCATTCTTCTCCTAAAATCTGTGTATTATTAGTCCAAAACAACACAAAATGAGTAAAAATTTGTTATGCTTTTCCTCTTTTACTTTTCCCTAGCTATATATGTATGTACAGCAAAATAAATGTAACGACAGAAAACGTGTCGAAAAAGAACCATTATTAATATTCTGAGCTACTTCTCAATAAATTCTGACATTTGAATATGGATCAGAAAGGAAACTGTTTTTTTACCACAAATTAAATTGCATCGAGTGGACATGGTACAATCAAGATTGAATTAACTGTGGGTCTAACTACGAAGAAAAACGTGGTACGATTCCACCAAAAAAGTCAATAATTCAGCCACCACATGTGGGCCTTTGACATCTCAACATCAATTTTCCAGGCTACGGTCCTACATTTTGTTTTTTCTTTCTGCAAATATGACATGGGATCTTTTAAAGCTATGGTTTAGGAACAAAGGTAATTTCGATACCAGCTATTGTCACAACCCCTATTCTGGGGACCAAAGTGACCAAAATGCTGTCAAAATCATCAGCTCCCAATTCCTCCAGCACCTCTGAAATCGTAAAAAACTGGGAAGTGGTAGATTTCATGCTATGTCCATGCCCCAAGCTGCTGAAGCTTCCTAGAGACTCAGCCTTGCACGGATTACTCTGACTCGTATCATCTTCGTTCACAAACACATCGAACACCGAAGTTTCTCCTTTATCAAATTCGATTCCCTTAATCTTCAGCACCTCTTCTGCCTCTGCTTTCTCTTGTCCACTCCTTGACTTCTTAGGCCGCTGAACCATGAAGCTGATGGGTTTCTCTAATTTCATTGGCAGCACTTCATTAGCCTTAGGTGCATTCACGGACAACTTTGTCAGGATCAGGCCCCTTCTACGCGCTTTCGGCTTACATTTTAACCAAGAAAGTGGCAAGTCAGGATAGGTATAACCAAGCTTGGCGAGATTTGTGGAGTCCTTAACCGTCACTCTAACGGGTCTCGCCGCCTCATTGAAGAAAATAAAAGAGGAATTTAACCAATCCGGGTCTTCAATATTTTTGCGTTTCAAAACATTGTTATAAATGTACCACATTCTATCAATGTTGCCATGGTGAGCCCAGAATATGGGGTCTCGGCCGGCTGAATATAAGGAGCCCATGTCCTCGCGGTTAGGCTGGGAAGGGTCGCCAACCCAAAGGTGCACAGAATTGTGGGGTAGAGTCTCTATGGAACCAGCTCCTGGATCGGGATCATCACCCCCCAACAGTGGCTGTCCGAAGAAAAGCAGAGGCGTGGACGGGTGAGTGATCATTTGAGTGTACATTGTGCAACAATTGTACTGCATTTGAGTATTGGGGTCGATGGGCAAACCGGTGCCGTCGTAAGCTAAATCCAGCACTTGAGGAGGGAAGTGTTTTGGGTTGCGGAAGAAATCGTATAGGGACAATTTGCTGTCGTTATACATGGGTGGAATTTGCATGCCTGAAGGATCGTCCCATTGCCAAAATGGCAAAGTAAACGTATCATCATCGAGCAAGTTTTTACAAATTCTTTCAAAGAAATAAAGGAACCATCTGTGCCACGGAAAAAATAGCCATGATTCATGAATGTCCAACTTTTTGTCTGGAAAGCCTGATTGAGCGTACCCTTGATCACAATACACGCAATGGATGTTTGCCTGTTGGTAAAAATTACGCGGGTCTGTCAGAGGAAGGTTCTTCATTTTTGCAATGGCAGTTGAATATTGTTTGATATAGTCATGGCTGACCGTGTGAGCCGGCATTCTTGTGTAGACTTCGCTAGCAGAAGGTGTATAATCACTGTAACCCGCGGCGGAGGGAGGGCAACAGTAGATAGGTATGCCACTTGGATTCATCCTGCCTTCGGTACAGTTGGAAACATCAGGTGAAACTGGCCTTGATAGTGTGGTTGCACCATATAGCCCACCGAGGCCAATAAGGACATCCCTTCTTTCAAATTTCCCTGCCGAAGTTTTACCACTTTTGGATTTGGATGAACTAATACTATCATCAGTACTAGGGGTCTGACGATGTTCTGCATTTTGGGCTTTGCATGTACTAGCTTTTGCATGGAGATTGTAGTTTTTTACACGAGTTGGTGGAAATGCGTGAGAAGATGAGTTAAAGGGTTTAAAGGAGGAAGAGCAGATTTGGGTAGGATAGATGGGGTGAGTTGATGAAGGAAGGGAAAAGAAAGCCATGGCTAGGTTTGAAGTTTGGGTGCAATTCGAGTAAGTGGCAAGGTCCCTTGCGTGCTTTTTTATAAGGTTTTGTCGGTGTCTCTGTGGAATTTTGTAATAGACCATCACATCTGTCCTTTTCTGTTTATTTTATATATTTCCATAAATATCATTATTTTATATATATTACATAATAAAAAGTGTTACAGTAATTATAGCAACAGCCAAAATAACTAAGAAAAAAAAAATTGTGGCAACAGCCTTGTGGTCTTCTTCTTAATGTTGGGACGTACGGCAGTTCATCTTTTTCTTGATATGTTGTCCTGTGTGTCTTAATTAAATGGTCCAATATTGTTGTACAATGACTTTTGTGTTGTTTTATTCATTATCACAGTACTATCATTTATGTGTGTGCATATAGGGTTCCATTAATTACAGTAGCTTTTTTCCCCCCCCTTTTCTGGGAACCTTGTACAGATTATGGAGGAAAAGAAGGTAAATTTTCGGATAAATAACTGTTGATAATGAACCATGAAGCCTCGTTCTTGGACTGACTCTTTCATGTGTGTTGAAGGCTATCATCGATATCAGGGTCGTTTACCGCACAAGGAAGAATGGCATTTACAGCAAAATGGGAGAAAATTCTCCCAGCAGCCCTTGAAGCTTTCAATCCGTTCCGTTCGAGCTGAAACAAATGAACAGTAAGTATTAAGGCTGAAATCCGAGAGATTTGATTTGTTTGAAGAATTATAAACTGAAAGGAAAGAATTGAAAATGATCCTATTCCGATGCGCACAAGGATCCTTTTATTTGAGCTTGACATGCCCCAAAATTGTAAAAAATTTTAAATCAATGACAGTTTATCAAGAACACCTAAAACAAAACTTCTAATAGTGGATTAAATGTCAGAGGTGACATAAAGAAATGATTCGTCCCACAGTAAAGGATCTGTTTGATCAAATGACAAAGAGTGTGTTTGAATTGTAAGTTATTTGCGTAAATATATTTGCTTATATCATCATTACAATTTTCAATATACTTTTTGGCTGTTGAAGTCCAAACAAGATGTCGAGATTGTCGGTAGTTTTGTAGTAACTATGAGATAAATAAAAATGAGATAAAACGAGACTAGGAGAAAACCTTAATACGCAACTCCTTCTTGTGGGGAAAAATAGTGCACAGATGTTAGGGGGTTAAGTTAACGCACCAACTTTTGTTAGTCCCAACAGGATTTTTCTCAATACAATAACATACCACTCGGTAGTTAATTTTGGGAAATGAGGCAAAATGTTTTGGTAAATTGTAACACGTACATATTATCACCTAGTAATCCCTCAGGTGTTTTGTATGTGTGTATATTTTTCAAAATATAAAATTTCTAAAATACTAAATTTCTTAGATGTAATTTCTTTTGTTTTTATGGTTTCTAAGTATTATATTAATGTGTTTATATACTCTCTTTCACTAATGTGAATGTTCTCTGTGATGTCATTTAAGCAAAATTTTCCATTTTTTTAGTTCACTGTTCTCCTTCATCTAATTTTATCTTCCATTTTAGTTTTTTTTTCAGTTTTTTTTTTTGGTATTAATGATAGGTGTAAATGATTGATATTGCTATTTTAGTTTTTAGTTAGATGTTAATGATCATTAGTGCTGTTTCAATTAAAATACTACTAATTTTTAATTTAGGCATTAATTTTTGTTCTCTTTTTTTTTGTTTTATATTCTTTGAAATTGAATTCTTTATATTCTTCTGTGTGTTATTTCTATTAACATTAGAGTGTTGATGATCCACCACCTATAAATATTTTTTTCCTATCCAACTATTCATTTTTTATAACTGAAATTTCATTGGTAGAGATAATTGAGTTTTTTTTTACATGTTATTTTATTTTATTTTATTTTATTTTTAGGCAGACCTAATGTAAAGCACTAATGACAACGACTCCATTGGAAAAAAAGCATCTTGATTTGGTATCAATAGCAATAATTTTGATGATTTAGAAATTGAATTAGACTGTGATTAATAAAAATTCTTAGATTGAAATAAAAATGGAAGATGGAATGCAAAAAAACATAATAGGTTGGATTGTTTTATTTTATTTATCATCTTTATAATTCAAATTTAATTAAGATTATAGTTTTTCTTCATAACTACTACAATTATTGACTACTTTTAGAATACAATAAAACTTATAATTAGAGAGAAGGATATTTTGGGCATACTAGAAAACTAAAATCAAATTCTAAATTAATTACACGTGTAAAACGAAATTTTCATGGATCATCCTTACATCGCTTTTGTTTTTCAATCATTCTTACGTCACATCCTTAGATAAGAATGAAAAGTTTGGATTCTGGCCAGTGGCGGAGCCAGAAATATTTTTAGTGAAGGCAAAAGTAACATTAAAATTTTTTTCCTACTCTTTTGTTAGTTTTTTAAGTAAAAAAATATTCACCAACAAGTTAAAATGAAAAAGATTTTTTGAACTTATTTCAAATGGAATTTTGTGATCCATATATCCTTTTAGAATATTAGTTCATGAATCAATTTAAAAGATCACGTAATTCTTTCACTTATTTCATAAAAACTTTGGAGGCACACTTAAGATAATATTAAAATTCTTTGCATATTGTAGGAATTTAACTTGTTTTCAGACTCGGACCGGGTATCGACTCGGCAGAGCTCAGGGGTCAGGGATCAATGGGTTCAATCGGATTCAACCCGGATTCGAATCGAATGACGTCATAAATATATATTAATGATAAATAATTAAAATAGCATATAAAAATTCCCTTTAAATTGATGGTTTACAACTTTATATACATATCTAATGAGTTTGGATTTAGTCCAAAAGGACTGCACTTAAAAAATTTAAAAGTTATAGGTAAAATTGTAGTTTAAAAAGCATAATGGGTTGATTTTATACTTATTAAAACAATATGGGGTCAAATTGATATTATTAAAAAAAATTTAAAACTACCAAACCTAATGGAACGTAAGCGGCCGCCCATTGTTCCTTTGCTTTTCACTTTTCTTAGTTTCGTCTTCTTCCTCCCTTTCACGCAGCTCCTCTTGTCTTTTTATGCTCTTCATGTCTCCTCCATTCATCTCACCGTCACTTTTTTCTTTTTCTTTATCCCTCACAAATCAAACACATATGAAAACTCTATTATTCTTTGTTATTGTTCTTTTTCGCTCCTCTCTATTCTCTTCCCTTCTTTACTCAATTCTTTATTTTCCTCCCATTTGATTTCAAATATTTCAAGAACTAATTCGCATGAAATCTGGCTTAGAAAATTTGGGGAATGAATTTTTTCTCTTCATCTGGCTAGTTACTTCATTTCTTTTAGAGTTGGTCAAAGATCAAAGGAAGGAAAAAGGGAAAGAAAAAGCCAATATTAACTCAAGATCTTGATCAAGGCAGGCATCAAGCTTTATATCAGATATTTGATCACAAACCTTGTTTGGACGGCCCTTATTTACGGATTTAGAGGTGAATAAGAAGGCATCTATTCTCTAAACCTTGAAAAAAGACAAGCCTAACAGCAAAGGTAAGTGAGGAGAGAATTGGAAATTTTTTATGCACACTCCAGATGCTTGCAAGAAAGGAGTACAATCAGAATGGAGAAATGAAGAAAACCGGGTCCTTTTCGGTTCTAGAGGTTTTCGGTCAAACCCGAGTTTTGATCGAATTTGACCGATTCTTTGATTGACGGTTTTTTAAAGAAACTCGGACCGAATGTTTAGTCGATTTCTGGTTTAATCGATCGGATCGGTCAATCCGATCCTAGTCTGAAAACACATTTAAGTGGGAGCAGTGGAGGCCCGTGCCCCACCTTAAATCAGCCAGTGATTCTGGCCACAAGTAAAAAACAAAAAATTTCAATAGGTTTTTGAGGACCGAATCATGGTCAACCTTGGTAGTCGGCATTCTAGATATAGGGATTGCAGCTAATTATTTGTTTGTTCTATAATCCTATGGGACAATTTCCATCCCAAGTCTCCTTCAATCTTTCTCTTGGTGAAGTCTTTGTAGAAAAGGATGGTGCATGTGAAACCAGTGGCGGAGCTATGTGAAAACAAGTGGAGTCAATTGATCCCACTTAATTTTGGAAAAATCTAGGTTTAGAGAAATTTTAAAGTTACCTCTTATTTGAACTCACTAAATTTTAACAAATTCTTTTTTCTATATATATTGACCCCCAAATAATTGAAAATTCATAATTGTTACCATCACAATACAGATAGTTTAGCCTTTCATTAACTTTTAAAGCCATTGATTTCACTTTGTGGATCCCCCAGTTGGTGAAGTTCATATTTCCTCAGCGTCTAAGCGATCAATTGATTTCAAGCCTTCGCCAAGGCTGCAATTTTGCACAGGTATTTGAGTGCGCTGTCAAGAAATATGAGAGACATAGATGTCTTACTAAAGAGACGTAAACCTGATATGGCCTCAATTCAGTCCATGGAACCTGGATTGTCTGATGCTGTGATTTTGACCTCCTGCTGCTGCAATAATTCACATTGAAAAGACTATTGCACAATGAAAAAAAAAAAAAAAAAAACTGTGACTCAAATAATCCACTTGAATTTTGTTCTTCTTATCTCAATTACAAGTGCACAATGTAATTGCATAGACAAAAAAGTCGTGACAACTGACAAGTTCCTGGGCAGTCACTTTAAAGGTGTGTTGGTGACACCTGGCCCTCTACTAACTTAACATATACTAGTACTAAAGCATAAAAACGTAGAAAGGTTTGATTTAGTAATTTTTTTCTTTACAGAGTTTCAAACTAAAGTTTGACTAGTGAGACGCCCTGCGCGTTGCGCAGGAGTGCTAATATTTTCCATAGTAAGTTACTTAATTTTTAGTCGTTATATATTTCTTATACTGCAGAGAGTTATATAATTATTATAAGTCTGACTTGAATTATAAAATAATAGTGCGGTAAATTGGTTAGGTAAATCTAGTGTTAATAGTTTGTGAATTATGGAGGATATTTTGAAATATAATGGTTAATAAAGTATTATAATTGAGACAATGTAGTGTCGATATTTTGTGTGGTATGATTTGTATAAATTATGTGGTTTGGGTGAG